TTTTGAGCACCCCTACATGTAATAATGAAAAGAACAATATGGTCAAATTTTAAATTAACCCTTAACGAGAAAAAAATATAAAACAAAATAATACGTCAATCCTTAAACAAACAAAACAGTATAAAATAATCTTTGTACAGCTTAATTCACAGTATAATATAAAGCCATCTGTGTTGAATTAAAATCTTAAAACTTTATATAATTCTTTTATTAACATATCTGATTCTCGACCATCTAATCCTACCGTGTTCGATTAAAAAAGCATATTATAAAGCAATTTTCATACATCATCAAGACAAGTTCTTACTTGGAGGCGATTAGTAGATGATAATAATAAGCAATGTAAAGATGATAATTAGAGAGTTATATTTTATTAACTTATGGAGATGGTAATCCATGTGTTATGGATAAGGTTCTATATGAGGTGCAACATGACATGATGGCGAGTTCAAGTCTCAACCTTACGAGTTACGGCGAAGCCACAACTTTTTTCAAGGCATGACCTCTGATGACAATATATATATATATATATATATATATATATGGTAAATTTCTTTTACAACTTTGTGTATTTGTACAACCCTTGCAACCCAATTAATTGAGATATTTATAAAAATGATGAGAGTTCATTTATTAAGATTTGAATATTTATGGAATATGAATAGAATTCATTAATGTCAAGGGTTGTATAATATCCAACCTCTATATATATATATATATATATATAGAGAGAGAGAGAGAGAGAGAGAAAGGTTGGTTATTATACAACCCAATCTCAATCGTCCATTTCATTTGATGAATATGTGATTTCATAAAAGTTTTGATTGTTTCCTAATATAAAGTATTAATCATAATTAATGAACTCTATTCATATTCCATAAATATTCAAATCTTAATAAATGAACTCCCATAATTTCTATAAATATCTCAATTAATTGGGTTGCAAGGGTTGTACAAATACACAAAGTTGTAAATTTTTTTTACCATATATAGAGGTTGGTTATTATACAATCCTTGACATTTGTGCAACCAATACAAC